AGGGAATTTTTACTAGGATTAAATGTCAGGAATTGTGAAAAACTTACTTTAAATGCATTTGGCTAAGGTGTATGTAAACTTCCGACTTCAACTGTAGACCCAATTAATTTTTTCTCCCCAATTTCGTGATATCCAATTGGTAGTTACAGTATTGTCCCATCGCTGCAACTCCCCTACGGACTCAGGAGAGGCAAAGGTCGAGAGCCACGTGTCCTCCGAAAACACTGCTTCTTGACACACTGCTCGCTTAACCCGGAAGCCAGCCACACCAATGTGTCGGAGGAAACACTGTCCAGCTGGTGACCGAAGTCAGCTTGCAGGCGCCCAGCCCACCAAAATGAGTCGCTAGAGCGCGATGAGACAAGGAACTCCTGGCCGGCCAAACCCTCCCCTAACCCGGACGATGCTGGGCCAATTGTGCGCCGCCTTATGGGTCTCCCGGTCATGGCCGGCTATGACACAGCCTGGGATCGAACCCGGGTCTGTAGGCACTGTACAATGAAGTGGCCTTAGACCGCTGCGCCACTCGGGAGGCCCATATACCCACTTTTTGAAGTAGGTTTAATAATACTTTCCTGTGGATATTTTGTCTCAAATTACAACCAGCTGATGGACCACGAACACCACAGACAAATCGGCAGAGTAAGTTTAAATATAATTGTATTCAACATTTGTGACAGACAAGGGATGTTTAGCATTTTTCTATGTAAATGTGCATTTTGTGACTAACTGCAGCATTGCCTGGTCCCAGATCTGTTTGTGTATCATGTCAACTCCCATGACAAGGAGTGCCATGATGGCACAAACAGACTGGTACCCAGGCTAACTGCAGCATGGCTTGGGTCACTAAAAGTGAGCTGAAGTGGCCCGATGGCATATGGTGACAGGTCCATAGAATATAGTCTTCTAAAACCACAGCCAATTTAGAATTGCATTGTGTATGATGAATTGTGTATGGGAAGATTTTGCATTTGCATTACTAAAATGATGTAATATGTACAATACTATATGATTGTGTGTAAACCATACCTTGCAGTGTTGAGTAACGGGTGTTTTGTTCCAACCAGTTTCCTCACGTGCATTGCTACATTACTGAGTTCATCACTCAGCAAGCAGCGTAGGCTCATAAAGGAAGTCGGATAACCCACGATTTTCTCTGCATCCGAGACCACTTTATTCCAATTAGAAGGCGTTGTGTTGGAGAAAATACTTATGTTCCTCTGTCCACGGTTCAGCAAAACGATGCACGAGAGTCGAGACCAAATTACTGTCATCTTTACAGCTGAAGGTCATTTACTAATTAAATTTAAACAAATATAAAGCAAATCCTTGACAGGTTTCTATACAAGCTTAACACAAGCGAGTATAGCTAGCTAGCTAAGTCGATTAAATAAATAAACTAAACGGTATTAGATATGTAGCTACAGTAGCTAGCTATCCATCCATATTTACATGTATCATGCTAGCAGAACCTAATGTTATTATGATGGATATCATCCTCGCTGTCGACAATGTCACATTAACTGAAATAAGTGTTATCACCCAACTTAATTTGATACTTATTCCCTTTGAGATATCCTATAAAATGTCCTGTAAATATTCCGTAACACACTACCTAACATGTTAAGCATTGACACAGGAGTCCGCCATCTTAACGAAACGCAATACGATATGTCGCAAAAACGTTACAACAGTTCTTGATGTGCCCTGGGCTGCGTTCAGTACAAAGAAACGGTTTCCACTATATAGCAGAGCCACTACTGGCTATATCGTAAAAATGTATGAAAACAAACATTTGCTTTTTGGTCTTCATTTAAGGTTAGGGTAGGCATAAGGTTAGCAGTGTGGTTAATGTTAGGGTTAGGTTTAAAAACAGATTTTAAGAAGATACATTGTAGTCCCGTGTAGCTCAGTTGGTAGAGCATGGCGTTTGCAACGCCAGGGTTGTGGGTTCATTTCCCATGTATGAAAAAAGAAAACATTTATGCACTCACTAACTGTAAGGATAAGAGCGTCTGCTAAATGACTAAAATGTAATGAATTGGTGGGGTTTATTACTTTCTGGCTTATTAAGTTTGTGGCTTATATTAAACGGTGTGCAACGTTCAGTTAAACGGAAACTGTGCGGTTCTGAACAACCAGTTGGGGAGAGGTTGGCAAAATGCACTGCTTGCTTCAAGCCACATCCACCAAACGGCGTAAACGTACCTCAAAGTCTGTTCGAGAACGTTGACGAATGTTTTGGGGGGAAACGTGTCATTCAGTACAAACCGTCACGCAAATTAGCAAAGAAAGATTAGGGTTGCCTGTAGAAAAATCGACAAAACATACAACATTGTTTCATTTAACAAACTGAGAACGATCCAACATTCGGAGTGAAATAATTACACAAATTGACAAAAACAAACATGCATTTTATAATTTTCTTACGATTTTGGATATCCTTCAGAAGAAGTGTCTTTAATATCATATTATCGAAAATAAATGTAGGCTAACAAAGAGGACATGCCACCATGTAGGCTAGAATTTGAAATTGGAATCATAGTTGTTACATTTGTGTTTGTATCTGGTGCGCTCCGGCTGTTACATTTGTATCAGCCGCGAGCAAAGTCGATACATTGTAGCCTATCATTTCACCTCACCTGAGGGAATTCAGAAACTCTTGGAGGACAGTGGAAGTTGATACCAGTGCTTAGCCCTATTTGGGTCGTTGCACCAATTGGTGCCTTTTCAACAACAAAAACACTGATTTCACCTAATTGTAACGTTATGTCATTCAGAGCACATGTTCAACTTAATAAAAAACACGTTTTCACATCTCAAGAGGTAAAAAAAAAATACTATATTAAGTGCCAAATAAAGTAATAAGGTTGACGATTTAATCTCAAATCAGCCATAAATCCTCTTGTGACAGGGGGAATGGAAGCTTGTTGTGTGCACAGGGAGGGGCAATTGAAAGCAACAAAAAAAGGAAATTGTCAAAACATTTCAAGTTAGGCCTATGCTCAACCAGCTCAGTTTTCCACCACAAAATACTAGAAAATGGCCAAAAAGAGTAGAACCAGCTAACCTGTTTTTACACTATGATTTGACTATTAGATGTTCAATGTTTATTTTGAAAGAAAATATTTTAAAAGAAATAGTTTCCAAATATTAAAACAAGATTTTGTTCATGTAGCAGGGTTGACCTTAAAATGAGGGACAGACATAAAGGAATCACTCATCACATGAAATAAAGAATCATCTTCAGAAATGGCTTCATCAAAGCAACAAAAAAATAACTAGGGCTTTACAATGATGGTGAAAACTTTGAGAAATAATGTGGTTAATGAGTAAAAATCTTCCTAGAAGTCACAGAGGGTGCACGGAGGGACATACAGTGCCTTCAGAAAGTATTCACACCTCTTTACTTTTTCCCACATTTTGTTGTGCTACAGCCTGAATTTAAAATTGATTAAATTGAGAATAGGCCTAGGCCTAATGTATTTTTCTGGTGCTCCTAAATACTGTTTGGTGCTCCTAACTTTCTCAAGTTGGGAGCACCAGTGTGCTACCAATGAAAAAGTTAGCCTAATTAAAGGTAGACTCAGCGAAATGACGTTGCCACGAGCAGCACTGCAGATATTGAGATGAGCGAGATGCAAGACTCTCACACAGTCACACACAGTATCTGCGCATGTGCATGGGTTCGCTTCATGCTGTTTGCAGCATGGTAGCCAGGGCACCAAATCAGCGGAGAAGTTGAGCTTCGCGCTTCAATGCTGTTAGTTGTTGCAGAAATTGACCCACTATGCTGTTTACTTTCTACATCTACGTCATATCGCTGAGTCCACATTTAAGAACCCTATAAGCGTGGGCTCTTCACGATGGGGCACATTTGTAAATTCACTCTTATTCAGAGAACTTTGGCTGCATTTACACAGGCAGCCCAATTCTGATCTATTGCCCAATTGAGCTGATCTGATAGGTCAAAAGACAAAATTGTTGAAAAAAAGAGCAGAATTGGGCTGCCTGTGTAAATGCAGCCAGTGAGCATGGAATCTAGGAAACAATATACATCTGTTAAATATGACTGATAGCTATAATTTCATTAAATGTGTTTACTTTCATTAAACATGTTGAATACACTTTATATCAAGTTGCTCGTATAGGCCTACCTGTGTAATAACACAACTACCAATTGCAGATTGGAAGGAGCTGTGCTACATTACGTTTTGTGTTGACTATTCTACAGGAAAAACATAATTATTATGTTTCAATTCATGTAACATGTTACAATGGAACAATATTGAACTGCAGGCTGTGTGTGTGTGTGTGTGTGTGTGTGTGTGTGTGTGTGTGTCTGTCTGTCTTTCTATGTGTGCATGTGTGCATGCGACAATGCACTCATTGAGTTACACTATCTGCTTAGGAACAGAGACTAGACAGGGAGATTATTTCAAGGACATTTTCTTTTAGAACAAGGAGCTCCCCTTTTGGGGATTAATGATGATGCCTCTCCTTTCCTTCATCTGCATTGAGGATAGTAAAAGCAATTATAGCCTACCAGGAGGAAAGTAAGCCACCTTACAGTAGATACAACCTGTGGAATGTCATGGAGCTAATATGTTAAGTAGGCCGGCATCTGCCTCATCTCACCATAGAAAGATCATGGTGAGCATGCAAGTGTGTTAGGGCTTTGCCTTTGTTGCAACTGAGTTCTACCTAAACTCCATGGTTATATCACACCAAAGAGGTCAAGAACTTGACTGGGCCCACCTGTCAGAGGCTTGCACAATTTCTATTGTAAATCTGTAATGGCTACAGATAAGCAACATCTGTCCAGCAGTGGCAGACAGGATAGGGCACAAATACCTTCATGAAGTGGGAGAGCCCACCAGACTAGGTTGTAAGATTGCATGTGTGAGGTGAGGAGGGCCCAAAATGAAAACGTTACGGAAAATCGAGAGGAAATAGCCCACCTCTGATCAGCAGCGTCATATTATGTTACAGTGGACGCTCCTCCCCCTGTCTAGATTTTTTTTCACTCAACCTCTCATTTGACTCAGAGGCAGCTCACACACACGAACTTGCGCACAGACCGTGGAAAAATAGGGGCAGAAGATGGCTGACTTAACAGGGCAACGCAAGCCCTCAACGGCATCACCAACTTCACCCGGGCTGTTCCCCAGCTTGACATTAGCCGTTGGGCAACTTTAAAGCGGCCCCGCCTCGCACTTATCCAGTCTACCCCTGCCGCAAATATTGACAGAGCCATTATAAAAAATGGCAGAGATGGAAAAAGAGGGCAGACCCCCCGAAAATAAAAGAAGCAGAAAACCGGCTCACCCCGTGAAAAGGGAAATCAACGAAGAAATGAAGGTAAGTGATCAATATTGGACCACTTGGCTGTGATTACGCATGGAAACAGAGCACTCATTAAAACGCGTGATATCTGTGGATGCGTAAAGCGCGCATCCTCTTTCACATTTTAGAGCAGACCTGATTCATTGATGAAATTTATTGGACGAATAGCGAATAAGTTCAACGTCATATTTATTTTTGGCAATTCATTGAACCCATTCATAGTCCAGTGTTCACAGCATGTTGAATAAAAATGGATAGGGTAGAATGTCTTGCCATGCGTTATAATACAGCCTAGGCTACACCGTCTTTGTTGTTCCACATAGGCCTACCAGTAGCCTACATTTACTTTTTGTCAATGAATGGGAAAACATATTCTGGAGAATTAGGACCCCATTATTGTAATTTGTGTGGTTTTCCTTAGCCCACATGGTTCCTTTGGAGTAAATGGAAAATCCAGTGCGTCAGTCAAGGCGTCAACAGTGCCACTATACTATTACTACCGCTACTCCCGCAGAAACAACACTTAGCGTAGCCTACGCATTTAAAATAAAACAGCGTTGGGAGACTATCAATATCTATTAAAGGAAATACACTTAATGCAAATGATTAACGCTAGACATCGTCTATAGACTGCATCGTGAACTCAAGCCAAACGATATCTGTCCTTTCCAGCTGTGGACGAGCCGAAGTGCTAGAGGTGTGCTTCCAGATGTGTGTCTACAGACGCCGGACAAGAGCACATTCTTTATCGTGCGATATACTGTTCTGCATACATTATAAGCCTACCCGATGGTACACTTATGCTTGCCATGTATTGATCCAAATATTTTGCAGTAAGAAAGATGTGAAGAGGGCATGGCATGCAGGGAACCTATCGCTGCTTTGTCTCAGGGTTCATTGTTTGTACACATTCTATGCCTGGGTTGAGAAAAATAATTGCCAGTACATAATAAATCCCAGAGCAAAGTCAGATATGGGCCTATTGTTAGAGTATTTCTTTTATTTTTTATATATTTATTTAGAGGAATTATGAACAAAGATTTTCAGGAAAGCCTACAGACGTTTTGGTGTAAATCATGTCTCTTCTCGTCCAAGAGGTGTGTGTACTGGGTTTCAGAGAAACACCCCTTTTTCTCTTGCAGTGAATTGTGTGGAGGCATGCTAAATACAGTATTTGGATTTGAATATTGGTCTCATGCGTGCTACATTCAGCCCTATTGCATTTAAGATGCCATATTTATTTATTGGTTCATTTTAATTTCTACAAATTGAGTGGCATATCAACGTGAAATTACGTGGAAACAACGTCAATTCAACCGTTGTGTGCCCAGTGGGAGGCTATGGACCAACAAGCATTCTAAATGGGAATTATTTTGACTAGCACAGAATGGTATTCTGCGAATGTGCTTTTGTTTCTTTGTCTCCATCAATCAAATTATGAAATGCTGTCGAAGTGTTTAATGAATTTCATAGTGTGTTAGACAGACAAAGTTGTCTGCACTGTTGGGAAAATGACTCAATTGTCATATCCATTCTCTGAAGTGACTGACTGACAGCAGTTGTAAAAAAAAATACTACTCAGAGCAAGGCTACCACATCCTTCTGTTCCATCTCCTCATCAATGAGCTTAGTTTAAGGCATGGAAGGTGCAACATCTACAGTATAATTATCAGCATATGGAGAGCATTCTGGATGTCTCCTGTATAACCAAATATACCATTAATTGATTCTCCTTCAACATTGAAGAACAGCTCCAATTCAGATCTGTTGGCAGCCAGACAACAGCAAAAGTCACAGGTGCTGCTATACACCCAGGCATACTCTTTTTTTTTTTTTTTTTTACTACATTAAGTACAATGTACATCTTTCAATTACTGCTGTGAATTCCAGTTCTATGTCAGCCTTTCCAGATATGTGATTATCAAGGAAGTGGTAATAGAATTAGAGACCGATCAAATAGCGTTCCTAGCAAGTTTGAAGCTATAGGATGTGCTGTAGTGTCAACAAGCTGTTCTTGACCATCAAGACTCTTATGGGGAAACAATTACAATTGACTTTATGTTGTCTGAGATGCAGTAATTCCATCTTGGAAAACAAGGTTTACACTTTGCACCTGGTACTAAATCAAATCTGACCCTGAAAGTGTTCATGGATTTTATTATTTATGCCATTTACAGTGCCTTCAGAAAGTATTCATACCCCTTGACATATTCCACATTTTGTTGTGTTACAGCCTGAATTCAAAATAATTCAATATATATTTTTCTCTCACCCATCTACACACAGTACAATAATGACAAAGTGAAAATCTGATTTTATAAATTTTAGCTAATTTATTGAAAATGAAATACAGAAATATTTCATTTACATAAGTATTTACACCCCAGAGTCAATACATGTTAGAATCACCTTTGGCAACAATTACAACTGTGAGTTTCTCTGGGTAAGTCTCTAAGGGCTTTGCACACCTGGATTGTACAATATTTGCACATTCTTAAAAAAGTATTAAAGCTCTGAAAAGTTGATTGTTGATCAATGTTAGACAGCCATTTTCAAGTCTTGCCATATACTTTCAAGCTGATTTAAGTCAAAACTGTAACTAGGCCACTCAGGAACATTCAATGTCATCTTGGTAAGCAATTCCAGTGTATATTTGGCCTTCTGTTTTAGGTTATTGTCCTGCTGAAAGGTGAATTTGTCTCCCAGTGTTTGTTGGAAAGCAGACTGAACCAGGTTTTCTTCTTGGATTTTGCCTGTGCTTAGCTCTATTCCGTTTATTTTTATCCTAAAAACTCCCTTGCCGATGACAAGCATACCCATAGCATGATGCAGCCACCACCAAGCTTGAAAATATGAAAAGCGTTACTCAGTGATGTGTTATGTTGTATTTGCCCTAAACATAACGCTTTGTATTCAGGACATAAAGTTAATTTCTTTGCCATTTGTTTTTGCAGTTTTACTTTAGTGCCTTATTGCAAGCAGGATGCATGTTTTGGAATATTTTTTATTATGTACAGGATTTCTTCTTTTCACTCTGTCATTTAGGTTAGTATTGTGGAGTAACTACAATGTTGTTGATCCATCCTCAGTTTTCTCCTATCACAGCCATTAAACTCTGTAACTGTTTTAAAGTCAACATTGGCCTCATAGTGAAATCCCTGAGATGTTTCCTTCCTCTCTGGCAATTGAGTTAGGAAAGACGCCTGTATCTTTGTAGTTACTGGATGTATTGATACACCATCCAAAGTAATGAATAACTTCACCATGCTCAAAGGGATATCCAATGTCTGCTTTTTACATTTTTACCCATCTACCAATAGGTGCCCTTCTTTGCGAGGCATTGGAAAACCTCCCTGGTCTCTGTGGGTGAATCTGTGTTTGGAATTCACTGCTCGACTGAGGGACCTTACAGATACTGTAATTGTATGTGTGGGGTACAGAGATGAGGTAGTCATTCACATATAATGTTAAACACTATTATTGCACACAGAGTGATTCCATGCAACTTATTATGTGACTTGTTAAGCACATTTTTACTCCTGAACTTATTCAGGCTTGCCATAACAAAAGGGTTGAATACTTATTCAAGACATTTCAGCTTTTCATTTTTAATTAATAAAATATATATAATTCCACTTTGACATTATTGGGTATTGTGTAAAGGCCAGTGACACAAAATCTCAATTTAATCCATTTTAATTTCAGACTTTTAACACAACATGTGGAAAAAGTCAACGGGTGTGAATACTTTCTGAAGGCACTGTATGTCACAGTGTGACAAAATTGTTACTGCTAAACAAAGACCAATAAGACTAGCGGATACAGATGACAAAGTAGCCCTAGTTCCACGTTCAGAATAAGATGCAGTATTTATCTCAAAAGCCACTATCTTCAACATTCTCTGCCAAACATGCTACAGTATAACTCTCTCCCTTAACCATAAACTGAAGGCCTGTTTGCTACTTTAAACATTTTGCTACTTTTCTTTCTTTGTTTTCTCCCTCTTCTCTCGTCTGTTTGAAAAAGCAAGAAAGACAAAAAACACCACACAATGTGCCCTTGTGAGAGATCATACCTCAAACAGTCTGACAGTGTTTCCTTCATCTTGTGCCGCTTTAATGTGCACCATGGTAAAATAAGCCACAGTAAGTAATCAAGGAGATACTTGGTGGGATAGGGGATAGTGCAGGGTAAGAGCAGGGGAGAAAGGAATGTATACAGCAATAGGCTGCCTAAGCTGTAAAAACTGAAACCTGAGCGTCTGCACAGGATCAAATATCAAGGAAGGTAGGGGGAAATGAAAGCGGAGCAGTGGGAGAGAGTCTTGGCTAGGAGAGTCTGAAGGAGGGCCTACTCAATGAGACTTTTATCATGGTGTACTGTGACCTACTCTGGTTTCTGTCCAAGGTATCAGATTCCCGCTGCTCGCCCCTACCAGCACATCTTGCTAACTGAAGGAAACAAGCTTTTGTATAAAAATAATATCATTATTCTAAACAGCTAAAGTTTTGTCTGTTCCAAAGTTGAACATTGGCAGCAAGTCAGTGTTTTGCAGAGCTGTGATTGGGGTTGAATGGTGTTATTTTGTGACCATTTCGTATAAATAAAGTTTGTTCATACTTCTGTTTCTACATTGATCACTTTTGATCTCTGTTGATTCAACTGATTGAGAGGTTGATGGTTAGTTGAATCAGGTGTGTTAGTCCTGGGCTGGAACAAAAGCCTGTAGGACCAGGGTTGAAGGACACTCTGTAGGACAAGCGTGATGAATTGGATAGCTTTAGAGGAGGTTTAGTCCAGTCCAGAGAGTTTGCACATTTGCAATGAACAGTTGACAGTCATCGTCCAGACAGCACCATAGCACTGCCTCCTATCTCATCAAGCCTGTGTGCTGCTTTCATGACCTGCCATACAGATTGGGTTCCACTCTCTTTACCACTCCCTCTTTCTGGAAGTGGCAGGGTGACAGAGGGGACAGGGAGCAAAGATGAGGGCAAACTTTCTTGAAGATGGAGAGAGGCAGACAGATGACGGTTGCTGGCATTATACCCTTTCATTTAGTTTGAGTAATGTGATCCAGTCACATCTGGGTCAAACAAGCACTTAGTCAATGGGCAAGCAAGAGTCAATGTTCTTCTGTAACATGCAAAAACCTCAGAAGTTGTTGAAAGAAGTAGCGCAGCAGAATGGAACCAAGACAATAGTAGTGACCACAAACTCTTTCATTGAACCTGTCTCAGGCAAACTTCAGTTGGCCTTTTGTGTTTGATGTCATGATGTCTTAGATTTTGTTTTCACTAACTATTGATGTGTTTATATGTTTTGAGCTCCATAAGTATTGATATCGAATGGTGATGAAACTCAGACATTGTGTCTTTTCATGTTATGTTGTTGTGAGTGTAATGACTAAGAAGTCTCAGCGAAGTGGTGGATATGCCTCACAGCGTCCTTAGTGACACCTAGTGACTGGATTATTAAACTGCTCTAGAGGGGCAGAAAGGCAAAAAAAAATTAAAGGGCGGCTGATTTTGCCTCATTTTAGATTTGGTATATTAAGACAGGGTTTCGCAAACTCGGTCCTGGGCCCCCACCCCTGGGCGCACATTTTGTTTTTTGCCCTAGCACTACACAGCTGATTCAAATAATCAAAGCTGGATGAGGAGTTGGTTATTTGAATCAGCTGTGTAGTGCTAGGGCAAAAACCAAAATATGCACCCAGTGGGGGCCCAGGATCGAGTTTGGGAAACCCTGCATTAAGAAATGCTAGTGGCCATGACTGGATTCAAACATGGGTTGTCGCTTGTGTGTGTTCGCAGGTGGGAAGAGTTAGCCAAATTATTTAGACAATTAGCTTCAGCTGGCTGGTGTGCGACCGTGGCAAAGTTGGTTTGACTTTGAATAGCTTCGGGGCTAGTTAGGAACCGTCAATAAATTACACAATGTAAATGAGACAACATTTTCATGTTGCACACCTTTTAGTTTTCTCATTAAATGCTTTCAAGATTTGTATATGAATTTCTATGATTTATAGTTGGTTTGAGGTTTTTAAGTCATAGAAATTTGGAGCTATTGGAATTTGAACATATTGTCCCATGTACATTGTGTAATTTACGGATGGTTCCTAACTAGCCCCATAGGGATATTCAAAGTTACCACAGGCATTACCATCGGGTCTCGTGCAGCTGCACTCCGAATTGATGTTGGGGTAACTCACCTCACCCTGGACGAATGTGTTGGACCAACTGATTGTAATGAATAACCTCACTTAAGGGGCCGGTCATTCCTGCTAAAGACTTGCAGTAATATCAATGGATGTGTAGGCAACTTTTGAAAAGCAATTCATCGGTTGGGGCACAGATTACAAATGTCATAAAAAACCAAAATGATTATTGATTTGACAACAATATAGTAGATGTGATATGAATATATACATGATCGGCATGTGAAGCAGCTAGCCTGGTATTGTCTCAGTCTGTTCTTGGTGTAAGATATACGTTTATCAGTGCTTGTATTTTTAAAACATTGCCTTTTTTCTTTGGCTAAATGTTACTTGTATTTCATGCCTTGTGATTCCACGTCTGCAGTTTTTGATTCCGAGCTGATGTTATAACTGATGTTGACTACGCTTTCATGTAATGAAATTACTTCCCTGATCCAATGGTATTGACAGGGCAGCCTGTAATTGACAATTAAATGCTTGATTGAGTACTATTTGATTGACAGTTCAATGCCAGAATGTAATGAAATGACTCGTGTCTCATCAGGTTCGGGCTGAGCGGGCCCACCCATGGGCAGGCAAGGCGGGTGATCTCCATGGCAACCCGCCCTACTCCATGGTGAGCCCCTTTGTCCGTGCCAGATAACAGTGCTACTCTGAGCCATATATATATATATATCGAGAGAGAGAGAGAGAGAGAGAGAGAGAGAGAGAGAGAGATTGTCCATTGAAATTTAAGGCAAAAGGCTGTATTTATGTCATTTATATAACATCACATAATTCTATGGCAGCTATATTAATGTTTCCTGGGTAGCCTAACATTCACTAATTAGATAGCTAATTGAACTGTTAGCATTACAACATGACCAAACTCTCTCTACATACAGTTCTGGTGCTACTATGAGAGTGTCTGAGATTTTCAGGTTTAATGTATGAGGGGCTGAGGGTTCTGTCTTGATAGAATAACACTATTGTGCTCCTTACATGTAAGGATGTGAGGTGGGGTTGATTGGATATTACTGCCTGTGTAGATTTGCAGTGGAAGTGCAATGAAAATAAATCTGTGGTAGTGCTCAGTCAAGGTTTGATGGGTTGGGAATTTTGTATAATGTATGATACGTAGACAATGTGGAATTGTTGTGCTGTGATCATTATAGACTATTTGTGGACTGTAACATGCTACTCATCTGGATTGCTTTTGGAAATCAACTGTAAAAAGCTATGAAAGAACTATTAGATTAGTTTGATCAAGGCCTCAATTTACCAGCACACAGTCTGGGATAAGTCAACTGTCAAGTTGTCCTGATACAGTATGTGTGCACATATCTCTAGTTAGGATTCTGCCATCAGTGAATAATTGCTACTGGGAATATAGTAAGCATTATTGTGTTATGGTTTCAGGAAATTGGAGCAACCCGTTCCCATTTCATATAACAAGCATATAATACTGCATTTCCTTTATTGTGTGTTTTCGGGGGTGGGAAACCTTGTTCATATGCAACCAAACCCTTTTATCCCTCATTGCACCCCTCATTACACTGTGATGTAATAGTGAAACTGGGTTCATGCTTGTTAATCCTAATGGCAAATATTGTGTCTCTTGTCTTGCAGAGTTTTGCGGAGAACACCATGAATGAGCTGCTGGGCTGGTATGGCTATGACAAGGTAGACCTGAGAGACAACATCGACATACGGAACTACCCAGATGGAGAGGCACAACAACACATCTCTGTCCTGAAAGGTGGGCATCACCATGGAGACAAATATTTATTTATCTGGTCATTGCAGTTGTTGATTCATTGAAAAGGCTATTTTCTGTGCACAGGAGCATACTTCTTAATCTAAAAAATAAGGTTTTGCAAGTGGTAATACAAGTGATGTAAAATGTGACATTTACTGTCTGTGCTGAGTTGAAAACTCCCTCTGGAGGGTCAGGGACAGAGGCTGGGGAAAGTACTGCTGCAACTTGGCAGTAGTTTACCATGATTGATGAGGCAATTCAGTCAGGCTATCCAGTTCAAAACCTGCTGTAGTTGCATCATCCAATCATTATGGTGTAGTTGTGTTTCAGCAGGAAACTGCACTTTCCTTTTCTATTGGTGATTAAACAGGTGTCTCTGGAATCTCTACATGGTGAATCCTGATTATAATGTTGGATACAATTTGAGAAATTCACGTCAGGTATTGAGCAAGCATAGGGCCTTATCAAATCAAAGCTGCTAACCGGGTTTCCAAGGTAACAAAAAGGACACCCATCTTGCGTCAAAAGCAAATTTGTTTGGATTCATGTACACACCACAACAATGTTTACAGTTTGGAACAAAAACTATTCTGCAAATCTTTCAGAGCTGCACTGCTGAACTGATCAATGATATCCATTTCCATCGGTTTACATACAGTAAGTCAAGAAAGACCAACTTTTGTCTCCCTCAGAAAACTCTCTGCCAAAACTCCCAGGAGGATCGGGGGAGAACAGTGATGTATCCCCAAACCAAGCCAATAGCTCCCACTCTACACCGACATCGAGGAACGGAGTGACAGAGTCCTCCACCACCCCTTCCACCTCCACACCCAGCACCAGGGAGCATGGGAACATTCCCATCATAGTTCCACTGATCCTACCCCCCATGATCAAGCCACCAGCAGGTAAAACACCTCACACACACCTAAAAACAACATAAACATACTGTATGTGTTTAAGCTTGCACTTTAAGGACTATCGGAATGTATCCTACAATCTAATACGAAATTTACAAAACATTGGTATACGAATCTAATGAATCACTGCCATTTCAGTGCTTAAATCCACGGTCAGTTTTACAATCGCTTGATAAATGAGGAACAATGGTCCGTAAATACATACACACACACCCCGGTTCTCCTCCTACAACTGTTTAAGTGTCAGTATCACCTGGTCAACTCTCAGTGGAAATGTACAGTTGAAGTCTGAAGTTTACATACACCTTAGCCAAATACATTTAAACTCAGTTTTTCACAATTCCTGACATTTAATCCTAGTAAAAATTCCCTGTCTTAGGTCAGTTAGGATCACCACTTTATTTTAAGAATGTGAAATGTCAGAATAATAGTAGAGAGTGATTTATTTCAGCTTTTATTTATTTCATCACATTCCCAGTGGGTCAGAAGTTTACATACACTCAATTAGTATTTGGTAGCATTGCCTTTAAATTGTTTAACTTGGGTCAAACGTTTCGGGTAGCCTCCCACAAGCTTCCAACAATAAGTTGGGTGAATTTTGGCCCATTCCTCCTGACAGAGCTGGTGTAACTGAGTCAGGTTTGTAGGCCTCCTTGCTCGCACACGCTATTTCAGTTCTGCCAACACATTTTCTATAGGATTGAGGTCAGGGCTTTGTGATGGCCACTCCAATACCTTGACTTTGTTGTCCTTAAGCCATTTTTCCACAACTTTGGAAGTATGCTTGGTGTCATTGTCCATTTGGAAGACCCCTGACTGATGTCTTGAGATGTTGCTTCAATATATCCACATAATTTTCCTTCCTCATGATGCCATCTATTTTGTGAAGTGCACCAGTCCCTCCTGCAGCAAAGCACCCCAACAGCATGATGCTGCCACCCCCGTGCTTCATGGTTGGGATGGTGTTCTTCGGCTTGCAAGCAGTGGCGGCTCCTGAAAAAATTCTCAGGAGGGGCAATTTTTCTGATGATTTAGGTGACCTACACACATTTTAAAAAAAGATATGTCCAGCAACAACATGAAGACAGGGGCAGCATATAAGTCAATACCAGAAGCATTTATTGACTGATCTCAAAAGTGTTGGCTTACCAGGGTTGGTGGAGCCCTCAGTTTCATCTTTGCCTCGCAAAGCTAACTCAAACACTCCGCAAAACTTCACACACTGGATTAGCCGGCTGAGGATGTGGCGGTTCTTGCTAATGTCGTAGTAAATATATTTGTTATAGTGAATATGGAATATGATATGTTGAGTAAAATGTTGTGCTAAGATCTATTTAGGTCAGGAGCTGGTTATAAGTTCTGTTCCTATCCAATAACAATGGACAAAAGGGTCCTATCTTGTCAGCCTTGTCAGCAGGTGGCCAAGGACAACACCCACGCCATAGGCCTCTCAGTTCTTCCAACTCACGAGTTCTTGCTCTGAGGACACACACACACACAAACACACACACACACACACATCATCACTGTTAAACACACACACACACACACACATCATCACTGTTAAACACACACACACACACACACAAAAATCCCCTCTCTTAGGCTGAACATTTGAAGACAGAGAACCCGACTCAGAGCCAATGCAACAGTGACAGTAGCCTGGAGGTGACCTCGCCCAACTCATCAGGACCAATCAGAAGATCAGAACTACTAGATTGAACCTACTTCATTTATTGCATAAAATGTCTGCACACAATGTTTCGGGGCTCTCTTCAGATAATAATAATAATAATAATAATAATAATAATATGCCATTTAGCAGACGCTTTTATCCAAAGCGACTTACAGTCATGCGTGCATACATTTTTGTGTATGGGTGGTCCCGGGGATCGAACCCACTACCTTGGCGTTACAAGCACCATGCTCTACCAGCTGAGCTACAGAAAGTGGATACTCATGGATGCGCATTGCAATTGTAAAATGTCAACACAATTGGAGACACCACGTCATTTTTGGAGACATGTTATTGACAGTAAACTATTGTAGATGCGACTGCTAACTAAATAAAACATTTTAGCTGGCTAGCTAATCATCTTAGCTAAATGTGGGGCAAACAATTCAGTTATTTACCGTTAATTTGAGGGATTGGGGTGAAATAAATCGAGTTACATAGTGATACTTTACGATATACTGTATTGACAATATCGCAATATTTTAGCGCTAGTTGGCTGTACCTGCACCAAAACACCATTATTGTTCCTTCATAGCTTGTTCTCAATCTTTTCACATTGGGAGCCAATTAGTTTTCAGCACTTTTATTTCCATGACTGATCAAAACTCGTTCTCATGGCTTTCTGATCCCTCTGCAACAGACATATGGTGCGCAATAAAATCACAGTATCGAATCGCAATACGTATAGAATCATGAGACTCGCAATGCTGATGCATATATCTTATCGTGAGGTTCCTGGCAATTCCCAGCCCAAGTTCATTTGCCACAACAAATCTCTTCGCTAGCAAACGCTAATATTTTGGTAAGTGATGCAAATAGTGAACTATGTAGGGCCAGGATGTAAAATATATGTAGCTGCAGCAATTTCTCTTATCTGATATGGTAAGTAATGGGGCTTCATTTATAGCTCCCTAAGAGTTTGACGAACGGGTCCGTGAACGCGATTCCAGATATATTTACCTCTGAATAAACTGCCTTTATTACACCATATCCACATCCAGTAAACTTGTGATTATCAACACTAACCTCATCGTTGTGGCGGCGGACAGCTAGCCTGTATCCCTCGTCATCCAGTTGAGTGAGTGGCAATGTCTTTTTTCGTTCGTACCAATTTTTGGAAAATCCTCGGGTGTAGGACTTTCCGCCTTTAGTAGAAACCTGTTGAATTATTAAATTTGGTCTGGGAGGTCCTAATTGTTTCGTTGCCAATTTATCTTAATTTGTTCGCCGACAAAAAGGAACTTCTTTCAAAGACACAATCGAGTTGGACTGAAGCCTAGCCATTTTGATAGTAGTAGTGAATTGATTGAGGCTGCTACCTGGTCTTTTCTTAGTTACGTTCATTCGTGGTTACGTTATGTATGACGAAAGCGCGTAAGTGCAAGCCCACAGACACCCATAGAGAATGTATTGAAAGCTTTGAAATGTGAAACAAATAGATTTTACATGACAGGCTATGAGAGACTTCTGGGCGATTTTCAACCTGACTGAAATCGCCCAAAAAACGGGCGGGCCATTTGAAGCACGACTTTAGCCTGATTTGACATTTAGTGGCTGTCAGATCAGACGTGAACACTGATAACTGCTGTTGCCGTGATATAATTTTTTATAAATTTATAATTTTTTTAAATTATTTTTTATTTTTTTATTTTTTTTATAATTGATTAGAAAAAAAATCCCTTCCTTTTCCCGTTTGGCAGTGCGTCGCCCATATCGCCCTATTGAACAAGCCGTCCCTGCTTGCAAGCAACCCCCTTTTTCCTCCCAACATAACAATGGTCATTATGGCCAAACAGTTCTATTTTTGTTTCATCAGACCAGAGGACATTTCTCCAAAAAGTACGATCTTTGTCCCCATGTGCAGTTGCAAACCGTAGTCTGTCTTTTTTATGCCGGTTTTGGAGCAGTGGCTTCTTCCTTGCTGAGCGGCCTTTCAGGTTATTTCGATATAGGACTCGTTTTACTGTGGATATAGATACTTTTGTACCTGTTTCCTCCAGCATCTTCACAAGGTCCTTTGCTGTTGTTCTGGGATTGATTTGCACTTTTCGCACCAAAGTACATTCATCTCTAGGAGACAGAACGCGTCTCCTTCCTGAGCGGTATGACGGCTGCGTGGTCCCATGGTGTTTATACTTGCGTACTATTGTTTGTACAGATGAATGTGGTACCTTCAGGCGTTTGGAAATTGCTCCCAAGGATGAACCAGACTTGTGGAGGTATACAATTTTCTTTCTGAGGTCTTGGCTGATTTATTTTGATTTTCCCATAATGTCAAGCAAAGAGGCACTGAGTTTGAAGGTAGGTCTTGAAATACATCCACAGGTACACCTCCAATTGACTCAAATTATGTCAATTAGCCTATCAGAAGCTTCTAAAGCCATTACATAATTTTCTGGAATTTTCCAAGCTGTTTAAAGGCACAGTCAACTTAGTGTATGTAAACTTCTGACCCACTGGAATTGTGATACAGTGAATTATAAGTGAAATAATCTGTCTGTAAACAATTGTTGGAAAAATGACTTATGTCATGCACAAAGTAGATGTCCTAACCGACTTGCCAAACTATAGTTTGTTAACAAGAAATGTGTGTAGTGGTTGAAAAACTAGTTTTAATGACTCCAACCTAAGTGTATGTAAACTTCCGACTTCAACTGTACATGGACAGAGGGCTTCATTGAACCACAAGTGTTGCGTTATACTCCAGAGGCTCATCAGAGGAGAGTGCCATGGCATCACCCTAGAGGCATCCTCACAGCCTCACACAACCTCACACAGCACAGGGGGAAAAACAGATGGTATGGTCCCTCTCTCACAGCTCAACACCAACCTCCCCCACTCCCCCTCCCACCGCCCATCCAACTTGTACCCCTTTTGAATTATTCATATGCCCTGCAAGAGCAACAGAGGGGCTTTTGAGGTGCAGGTACACTGGATGATAGAGGTATTTAATATGGGCGCTGCATAATTACAGTACAAGGCTCTCTCCGAGCAGATGTGAGTTGTTTAAGGAAACGCATAACGAGAGCCGAGAAAAAGGCTAGAAATATCTGAACGCAAAACATACCACCTCAAGTGACCTTTTCAGACGCTCTTATCCAGAGTGAATTACTGGAGCAATTAGGGTTAAGTGCCTTACTCAAGGGCACAGACAGTTTTTCACCTAGTCATCTCTGGAAGTCGAACTAGTGACCTTTCGGTTACTGGCCCAACGCTCTTAACCGCTAGGCTACCTGCCACACTTCAACTTGTTTGTTGTTGCCAAATATTTTATTTCATTACTGCCAGGTTACCATGGGACTTTTGAACATAGATTTTCTAAAACGATACAATAATTGAGGTATGTAGAGGGGGAACTTCCCCAGGAATATTTTGTAGAAAGAAAAAATCAATATTTTTCACTGGAGCTCTTCTATCTATCACACCTGCCTCTACAGAGAGCTCTCAATATGGGCCATGCAGCAGGAGCATAAAATATGCATGCTGTGGCCACGGTGCTATTGTTGGGCCTCCCGGGAGTTATTCCCCTTAATTGAAAATGTATTTCCTTTAAAACAGATTTGCACTATAGATCCATTAAGCTTAACAAGAGGGGAAAAAAAACCTTCCCAGTACCCACCACGGTGTGATAAGGGAGTGAGCGGAGGTGAAAGACTAATGGGCAAAAACATTTTCACCTTTGCACACACTTAGTCATAATGTGATAATTGTGAGTCTCACAGGAAGAAGTCTCTCCACATAGTACAACACTGAGGGGCTAAAAAACCAATGTCAATTACCCAGCAACCATTGTTTAAGATGAGAGACCCATTTGATGTCATGGAGGGTGTTTAGTTTCCATGTTCTAATGAATCTCCAATGAAGCCCTCTGCAATTTAATTAGGTAGACTTCAGCTGAAGAGTTTTAAAATTTCCAACCAATTTTTGTCCACAGAGATTCCTTAGGGCATCTCTGTCTGGTTAGAATGTCTCGAACTGCCTTCATGACTGCAGCAAAAAAACCTTGGGGTGGGAAGCACTGTCCTCTTTTGCCTGGAAGGGGAATACTGTCAGGATGCATTGTTGGTGGGATCATTCACACGATGAGACTTGACAGGTGGCTGTCAGATTGTTTAGGGTGGGAGGGGGTGGGAGTTTGGCTGGATTGTTATCCCGTTATCCTCACATTGTGTCCGTTTTGTGTTTGTGGTCTCCCAGACGAGGATGTGTCTAACGTCCAGATCATGTGCGCGTGGTGTCAGAAGGTTGGCGTCAAACGCTATTCCCTCAACATGGGCACTGAGCTGAAGAGCTTTTGCAGTGAGAAGTGCTTTGCCGCCTGCCGCAGAGCCTACTTCAAGAGAAACAAGGTAAACTCCTTCTTAACACTCCTATCACATTAATAAACCAAATATGCAAGTGCACACAAGACCATGTGATACATACATGTACTGACATCATTTCCTCCCTACATCCACTCTTCCTGATTTCTCAGATTAAGATGCCGTAGGACACTTGTCAATCCTTAGGAATTGTAGTGACCAGCTTTCAGCTTTGTACAGTATCTCCACTAGATGGCTGGGTGAGGAGCCCAAAAGCATAGGTACTTTGGATATTTCGCTCCTGAGTTTTGGCCTTTCGCTTCTGAGTACCCATTGTAGTAGATTAACACGAAGCCAATATCAATCCTTAGCTTGTGGTTTCATCATTGAACATGCAGAAACACGGTTTCAGTCATTTAAACCCTCATACCCTATGCAGATCAGTTGACTTTCAAACATGCATTGGTTCCAATTATCAGTATATATTATCTTTCCAAAGACAGACAGTCCATTAAGTTAAATAGTGTTTTAATTTGTCCTGATTTCTGAAGTTAAACATTCTGCTTTCTTTCTTATACCTAAGCTTGGATATGTAAGGAATTACAGTGTAAGTATGATATGTTTTTATTCATGTCTTTATTCCTTTCCCTTTTTTCATCCAAACATAATCACTTAGCATAGCGCTGTATGCTACCGGCTGTTGAAATGGAAGTATACATATGTCTGATAATTTAAGATGCTGTACGTGAATCCAGTTTTTTTCTGTTCACACTATCTATTTTCATAGCATGAGTTGCCTTGTACCTGCTGTCGTTTCTCCTAGGTTTAAGTATTGCTAGTTGTAAAGTGAAAGTTCACACTAAAATCTAAGTTTATTTGACACTTCTATGAGTGCTGTATGTAGATATATAAATAAAACCACAACTGAAGAGATATTGCATTTCAGTGAGTAAGGACCAAAGTGAAGAGCTATCCAGGGACAGAATTCCCACATTAGGAAAACAGACATGGCTAGAGCACAGAAAGGCCTTGTCTGCTGAGGTGGCGCAGATTCTATATTATGTCTCACACTCTTACATTCATGCAGGCCATTTGTGTAAGTGATATCCACATGTTTATTTTTTCATGCACCCACAAGATTGGCCACAACTCCAAACCCTCCAGTTTTTCCAACAAAAAAAATGGCATGGCTGAAAATGTATCATGTCTGTTTGTGTCTGAAAGGGGAGCAAGGACATAGTGAGTAAGGTGGCATGGGGTGGGCAGTGGAGACGCATCGTGTTTCGCTAAATATCTACAGCTGCCTCGTCCGCGTAACCCAATCTCCTCTTATGGCGAGCGCGGGTGGGTAGGATTCAGTTTCTTCCATTGCCACTGCACAACACCATCCATCCAGTGCACCAGGAATAATACCAACATTCAGACATATGATGGGGTGGTTGGGGGAAGATGAGTTTTGATCCAGTTTTGAGCTCATCTAATGACTAGTCTGGTTTATTTCACATAGACATTCAAGATAGACAGACACACACACACACACTCTCGCTCAGCCCTCCCATCACATCATGTAAAAGCACTAGAGAGGGTAAAGTCCAAGTGAAGAGACCCTAGCTTGTATTTTACAGCCCATTTCTGTGCAATACGCCTCTTTTTTTTCATGGCTCAGGAATCTTTCCATACACCTCTAGAGACCTGTAAAATTCCATCTCTGTCTTTGTCTCCGAGGTCCCTCCAGGCAAGTGCTTCTTTACGTCACCCCAGTATTGTCACATCACCTCAAACAGACACAAATCTTTATACACAGGCTGGCGGTTGCCTGCACTGCTCTGGCATTTACTTTAGGAAGACACACTGATTAAGATGTTTGTGTGTGTGTGTGTGTTTGATTAAGTGTATTACCAGTCCACATTGTGATTCAGTCCTGGCAAGGGAACCTATAGGCCCCCATGTCGCAGCAGGAGAGCATAGTGAGGTAGGTGATTATTTCATAGCTGACAGCGATTAATACCAAAAAAGGGAAAGGAGGAAACTTAGAGAGGAGTTTGCGGGAAGAAACTGGAGCTTGAACTTGCACTACACAGATATGGTCATATCATGCTCTCTCGTCCTCTGAAAGTCTAACTATCCCAGCTAGATAGCTTCTGGATTTAAAAATATAATTTTTTAAGGTTGATGATCATTAGAAATCACAACATAGAGGTTTGGATGGACCAATCAGCGCACCTACCGACAGAATAAATGTTTTCATTATTTAGCTGTTAGCCAGATAAATAAACACTGACATCCTAGAACATTGTAATATGACATGAAGATCACTTTTACAACAGCAGTACAGTACATAAGTTACTTGACTAGTATAAAAAAGCTTGTTATCCCACAACCAAACGGGAACAAGAAGAGAATGTTCAAGGAACATTTCCTGTTAGCTGGGTAATCTAATGAGAGGACAGAAGGAGGGGGTTGTCCCAAAGATGTGTGTTGTCCCAGGTGGGTGGAAAGTTGTGAATTTGTGCTAGATGTGTTTGATTATGTGTGAGTGTGTGATGGGACGTCTCTATGATTGTCTGTTTCTTGTTGTTGTGGGTATTTACATTTGAGTCATTTAGCAGACGCTCTTATCCAAAGCGACTTACAGTGAGTGCATACATTTATTTTATTTTATTATTATTATTTTTTTCATACTGGCCCCCTGTGGGAATCGAACCCACAACCCTGGCATTGCAAGCGTCATGCTCTACCAACTGAGCTACACGGGACCACGGGTATGTGTGTGTATATATTTGTGAGGGCATACCTTTTGGGAAACACACCTCTTGGCAGGTGAAACGCACACACACCTGGGCAGGCACAGATGCCCAGATGGAGGCTTGCACAGCGACAGCTGGTGTGCCAATGCCTCTGGGCATTTTAGTCACCAATGGGCACAGATACCGGTGGTGTAGAACTGTGATGCCATGTTTGCACGAGACACTTTAGCCCGACTGCAACTGTATTTAGTTGCCATGGTGTTGCCAACAATAAGACATCACATCTCTTTACATTACATCTCTTCTGTGTTAACAAGTGTTACTGAATTTTCCAGGGGAATAAGGTGTGGTAATATTTGCGTAAAGTAAATATCTAATAGCCAAAAGGAAGAGTAACTTTTGAAACAGCTTTCCATCCAAAAAGTGGAGAGTGGGACATCGTCACCCAAAATCACTGCAACAGCAACCAATGATTAGAAATGATGGCAAATGCAATGATTCTATGATTTTTTGGAAGGAAAGTTGTTTCAAAAGGCAGCTTGACTTCTCTGGATGGACAAATGTTTTACCCATGGCGGGTAGGCACTTTCGTAGCCCATGTCTGGGTTTATCACCAGTTAGTTTTCCTTTATACTCTCAGTCTCGTCATACAACACTGTTGTGCCTGATTCCCAGTAAAGGACGTGGTGTCCCCATTGTATGACTGTACTTTCACCCAACACTGTGTCTGGTGCTGGTTGATCTCTCTCTCTCCTTCGCGCTCTCTCTCCCTCTCTCTCTCTGTGTGTGTGTGTGTGTGTGTCTGTGTGTGTGCCCCTCATGCCTTGTTCACTGTGCCAGCACCTCATTAGCACTATATGTAAATGAATTGGCACAGGGCCAGAGGGTCACAGCACAAAATGGAGACTGGATAATGACACAATGACACATCTGTGTGTGTGTGTGTGTGTGTGTGTGTGTGTGTGTACATTTCAATGCTTATCGATTTGACTGCACAGTGTCTAGTGCCAAAGTAAAAAGAGAGAACATCCCATCAACTCAGTGGTGCTGGTGGATTTTTAAATCCCATATCCTCTTTCCTTTAATCTTTATTTCTGGGACATTGCTTGTGATATTGTTAAACAGTTGTTTTTCCTTGGAAGTCTTTAAATATGATTAATGCAGCGTTTACTCCCCGGATAACAGTGTTTAGATTAATGTGCAATCGCATAGAATTCCCTCTTTCACAGTTCATAATGATAAAGCCAATATAACATCTAGGCTCTTCAGCTGTCAATGTGAACAATTAACTATAGTTACTACACACACACACTTTCCACATGGCTTTCTTTTATGATGATGAGAACCTGCATATGATTCCACAACCCAATGCATGCTCACCATTTTGTCAGTGTCTTTCCATTCATAAGTTTGTTGTTGTTTTCCCTTCTTCTTTTCTGTCCACCTGTTTATTTTGTCAGTTCGTAAAAAGAGGCCGTTGTTTCTCCCCTCAGGCGAGAGACGAAGACGGCCGTGGTGAGAAATTACCCCAGCACAGCTATTCTAAGGATACGCCCAGGCTTGTCTTCAAGACAAACAGCGATGTGCTTGTAAGGACTAAAACGTTTAACAAAGACAGAGTTTAAGTTTTTGATGGCTAGAAATGTAATGACATATTTTGATATTCATGACTGTTTGATGTGTTGAATAATGTAAAGATGTTTGTTTTTAGAGAATGTGCTGTTAGCCTTTAGTTATATATATTATTATTTTTACGTTGATTTAAAGTGAATCACATACTTTTTTCATTCAAATTGTTTTATTTTCTCATTTTCATTCTGCATTGTGTTAGATTCAGATGTTGTGTTCTCTCTTCATAGATCCATAATGCGGAATTTTCTGCCAATTTTATCTTGACCATTTTGGGCTTGGTGACATTTCAATACATTTCAATCCAGTAATAGAATTGGACATACGATTCACATGTGACGTTTAACTCGACAACATTGGCCATTTTCTATTTGAATCGTGTCTGGTTCAATTAATGCATTTAAATGATTTTTGATGGAATATACCCACTTTGTTTTGCAGGCTTCATAAGATCATCATGATCCAGATATTGTTCCCCCAGCAGATACTGGTCCCCATAATATACTGTCCCGAATAATACTCCCCCCCCCCCCCCATCAGATATTGTTCCTCAAACGGATACTATCACACACAGTATCACAATCTGTTCCCTTGCTGATCAGTTTGATAAGTGTTTAACCAGACGGTTAGTGAGATGAACAGGTTTTCTAAACTAAATTCACTAGACAAACTATAAATCAGTATTACAAGATTACAAGTACTTAAAACAATGCCATGGCAAAGTGGTAACTACATAATAATTATCTATTAATTACTCTTTAATTAATTACACCATATTATTATGAACCGTAAATTCGAGACAAGTAGCGCTAGAAACAAGATTGAAATCGTGTAACAGGTCCGTTCAATAATAATTTTTCAAGAACAAAATGAATGGCCCCATGATGTCCGTGTGCTGTTGATAGGTAGCTAGGTCATTACCTACAGCAAAGCAAATGGTTAAACTGAGCCAGAGCGATGGCCGTGGTTGAAATAAATGACCATAATTACATTAAACTGCAAACATCTTTGTGCAGGAGAGGAAGTGAGTAGAGAGAGAGAAAAAAAATATCTCATTAGGGTAATGCACAGTGAAATTTCACTCACAGTGCAGAAAGTCATTTCACTCACAGTGCAGAAAGTCGTTAATTGCTCTCCATCTGTCTTCTTTTTTAGCCCAAGAAAATGTAAACACATTTATAATTTAAAATATCCAGGTTTACCATCATTGAACCCAACTCTCAGAGCACTTTTCAAACTTTTTTAGTTATGGCTCATTGCGTTCCAAATGGACAGTTTAAAAGAAGACTACTGATATCAAGGCTAAAGGGCTGACTATTGATCACTCACATGTAAGAGTACCAAGCTACAGTATCAACCTGGACTCAGGGGTAGACGTAACATTAATTTGTGGATATCCATCATCCATTTCGTATGATATATTACAAATTACAATTCGTATATATTACGAATTACAATTCATGTGATATGTTACAAATTACAATTTGTATAATATCTTTTGAATTTGCAATACGTATGATATGTTACGATTTCCAATTTGTTGTGGCTAACGTTAGCTAGGTGGCTAATGCTAACCTTAGCTAGGTGGCTAACGTTAGCTAGGCTAGGGGTTAAAGTTAGGGTTAGGGTTGGGATTTAGGTTATAGGGTTAAGGTTAGGGAAGGGTTAGCTAACATGCTAAGTAGTTGCAAATTAGAGAGAAAAAAAGTAAGTAGTTGCAAAGTTTCTAATTAGCTAAAATGCTAAAGTTGTCCGTGATGAGATTCAAACACGCAACCTTAAGTAACTTTCTGTCTTATGTACCCATACCAAACGTAACATATCATACTAATCTGAGTGTCCCGGATTTTTGTTACGTCTAGTCTATGAAACCAGGCTGACAATATATGGAACACTAGTCTTTGGTCCTGTAATGCTGCGCCACTACAACCGTACAGAGCACTACAGAAATGGTCTCTGATGGTCATGTCTACATTATGACAGCCTTTCCAACAGTGGCCATTTGACTGACATCTAGTGATGGAGGAGAGCTCTGTTTAACATTAAAATCCCATTATGGACAAGATTGTCATTGACTGATTTGTCCATCTCTTTGACATGAGTGACCTGTAAATTGAGAGACGGGGAAGGGATGGAAAAGAGAGATAAAAGAAGAGTGAATGAATCAGGGTGACCTATCAACTGAGATCTAAGTACTTTATGGAAGATCTTAAAGTATTAGAGTGACAAATCAATGAATCAGGCCAGGGTTCAGAGGAGGATGACACAAGAGTGGCATGTTACTCTTCATGCAGAATTATGAGGGATCCATGACCATTCCAGTTGTCATGACGTGTGTGTGTCTGCGTGCTTGTTCGAATCTACTTTTGACTCAAGTGTGGCAGGCATATATGTGAGCGCTGAAAAATCAAATGCGTAGGATCATACAGTACATGTATGTCTGTGAGCCGAACCTAATCATCTTCCAGTAGCATCCCATAATTTATTAGCATTCAACAAGGGGGATTATGGTGTGTGTGATGGATGGACGTCGTTGAGGGGTCTGACAGCTGATTAATGCTTTAATTATCTTCAGTGAGTCGCTGTCACGTCCCTCTGAGCTGGCAGAGTGAGTTGTGTGCCGGGCTGTGCCCCATCTCCCTGGCCCACCCATTGTCATCCACTCACCAGGGTCATGTTCATTATCTCAGGTACACTAATGAAACTAACCGTTTGGAAACGAACGGCCACATGATGATTGAACATGCACAGTGAACATTTTGGAAACTTTTGTAGCAAGTGAAAAAGATCCTGGAATCACAAGGGCCTGGCATCCCACAGAGTGTTGACAAGCTGTGCCAGGCTGCTCCCCTGCCCTGCCCAATGTGTGTAATGCCCCCAGGGTAGGGTTAGATAATCCCATTCAATTTAAGCGCAGTCAATTCCACTTTAATGCAGTCAATTCCATTTTAATGCAGTCAATTAATGAATCAGTCTTTTTATGCAATAAAAATATCCCCAAAAATCATATTAAAGTTGCACATCAGTAGTGAATAGCGATGCATCATAGCACCCACCTAGGTGGTGCTCAACAGCCATTTTTCACCAGAACATGTCAAACTCCACCCAGCTGTCACTCTCACTTCCGTGCCCTCTACTGGCAGCTTGTTCACCTGTCTCCGTCTGTCCATCTCACCCACCCACCACATTCACCTACCCCCTCTCATGATCATGCCTTACAGGGAAAAGCTTTTACTTGAGGATGTTATGTCCTGCGGCTGTGCCTGTGGCCACTGTCACACACGGCTCGGTGGCTTAATGTTTATCTGAGTGGTTCCTCCTTATGAAGGAAGTTTAAGAGGTGAAAACCCCATGGCAGGTGTAAATGTGAATTTCATTAAAAAGCTTTAAGTACGCCCATCCAGATTTGCACTCACGTTTAAAGCCGGTTGAAACTTACTTTTTCCTCAAGTTGTAAGCATTTATCAAGATGTTACCATGTGTTGTACATTACCTGTACCTCAAGGGTCATAGCAGTGTGAAGTTAGTATGACAATCTCTCTGTTTCACTCACTATATATAGACTATACATGTGTCATTATTCAATAGAAGCACAAAAATACAGATGGGTTTCCCTAACAAGGATACAAAAATGCCATGCAGATTGACTTTTATTTACTTGGTGTAACAAAACAGAATTTGACCAGTTAATTTAATTACAATCCAGTGTTTCATGTACCTAATCTGCAGATATTGTGTGAGGCTGAGAGATTACATTCTGGTTACCAAAGTTGTTTGAATAGCCACATGGCAAAAGGGCAATGTTGCTGACTTTTTAACTGCTTATGTGTGGTGTTTGTAATGCATTGTACCTGATGATGTATTTTGTCTTGTGTTACAGGTGTGTGACTGGTGCAAACACATCCGCCACACCAAGGAGTACCTGGACTTTGGTGCTGGTGAACGGAGGCTGCAGTTCTGCAGTGCCAAATGCCTGAACCAGTACAAGATGGACATATTTTACAAAGAGACTCAGGCGGCGCTGCCAGGGGGCCTGTGTAACCCAGGACACGGCCCTGTGGAGGGCAAGTCGGAGAGCAGCACCGGGGCGCAGCTCCTCACCCCCGAGTCCTGGGGCACGCCCTTGGGTGACTTACGCCGCAAAGCGCCTTCCCCTGGGGGAAACCCCTCTGTGCCAGTCCCCTCCAGCTCCACCGCTGCCTCTCCCTCTGAGACAGGCACTGTCTGCTCCCCTTCCTCCTCGTTAGCCAAAAACCCCACGCCCAGACCCCACGAGAGCCCCACCTTACCCCCTCCCACACACCCCTCTCTGCACCCTCCCATGGGAGTCCCCTTGGGTAGCCCCCCCATGGTGATGACACCCCAGGGGCCCGTGCCCCTGCCCTTCTTCATGGAGCACCAGATGATGCAGCAGATGCGTCCGCCTTTCCTCCGCCCACCTCCCCACGCCCCAGGCCCCAACAGCCCCCTTTCCAACCCCATGATCCCTGGCATCGGACCACCACCACCACCGCCCAGAACCCTGGGTCCCCCATCCAGCCCTATGCACAGGACACAGTTCTCACCCCACCACCACCCCTCCAACAACCCCAACCTGGGAGGGAACCCCCCAGGAATGATGCCACCCCATCCAGGCCTACATATACCCGGTTTTCCCTTCCCCTCCAACATGATGCCAAACGGGCCCATGCTTATGCCACCCATGATGAACTTTGGTATGCCTTCCCTCGCCCCCCTGGTGCCCCCGCCAACCCTGCTGGTCCCTTACCCTGTCATCGTGCCCCTGCCGGTGCCCATCCCTATCCCCATACCCTTCCCCTTCAACCCTAAGACCTCCAAGGACAAACCCAGCAACAACAACGACCCCATTCCCAGTGCATCAGGGGAGGACCCCAGGCCCTTCTCCCCTAGTTCCTCCAGAGGGGAACACAAGTTTGGGCCCTCCAGTTCCGGGGTGCACTCCCCGGGCTTCTCTGGCTACGCTCTGGCCCGCTTTGGCTCTGAGAGGAGTAGGACTGACATAGTGGACCTGACTGTGAAGACTGAGAGTCCGGGGAGTGCCTCCACCGCGGCCTCCCTCCCCGAGGGCGTGATCGACCTGACTCTGGGCCGGCGGTCGCGGTTGCAGCAGGTCATCCAGCGGGTGGTGCCCAGTGTCCTGGTGAAGGTGGAACCAGAAGGGGACTCATCCCGCCCCCCACCTTCTGGACCATCCCCTCTGGATGCCTCTGGGCAGAGGAAGGGGGACAGCAGCCTAGAGGACATGAGCCAGGAGGTCAGGGAGGCCATTAGTGACTCTCTGGAGCCAAGCTTCCTGCCTTGTCGCCAGGCCACATCACCATCCCCCCAGCCAAATCAAAACTCCTACACCAACCAGCTCACAAATCACCCTGGCACCCCACGGACTCAGCCCTGCAGCCCACCTGCCCCCTGTGATGTCATAGTAAACGGCAGCAGTCAACCCACAGACGGCCCCAGCCGGAGCACGCTACCCACACCTCTGTCTGACCCTGGCCAGAGAGGAGGAGGAGGCGGTGGCGAGCCGGCCAACTGCGAGCTGGAGCGGGAGACGCTGAAGGAGAACAGCTGCTTGGTGCCAGAGTGGGAACCAGGTAAGAGGGGCCCAAGTGAGGAGGCAGTGCAGGGGGGCACTGGGGAAGGCACGCTGGAAGCCAACGGCGACCTTATGGATCTGGACGATGATGACGACCACGCCTATGCACTGCTGCTGCCCAAGGCTGGCTGTGTCATCCAGCCCCTGCCAAAGCCCAGCGACAAGACGGCCATCGTGTCCTGCAGCATCAGCGCTCCCCTGGCGGCAGGGGCAGGGAGCCCCGAGCTGGAGCCGCAGCTAAAGAGGAGGTGCCTGCGAATACGCAATCAGAACAAATGAGGCAGAAAAGGTTGGTCTCATGGCGCTCCCTACTGAGGACCCAAAGAGGTCCCCCTCCCATCATCTCTGCCCTGTACCTGTCCCTACAGGTGGTGTGGAAATATCAGCTTTTGTGTGTAAATACCACAACAATATCAAACAGTCTGACAGTTTTTCAAAAAGGCCTTCAAAACATGAAGATGTCCGATTTAACTCTATGAAGGGTGTTTTGTGTTTGTGCAGCTTTGCAGCATATTTTGATGCATACAATTGCACTGATGCTTGATCATATTGTTTAAATATACAGAAATGTTTATTCATCAAGCATAAAATGACCTTTTTTGTCTATTGCAATGTTTCCCTCACTACTGCCCTTGCTGTAGCTTTTGACCTGATCTGAGAGGGGGTGCTGACAGAAATGTACCACCATGAAGGAAGATATACTCTTGAAGTCAGGGTTGATAACACGCTAATGTTATTTTAATCAAGCATGCAGCAGTAAATCTATTGGATCTGAGCGAGAGAGATGTCTGGTTGAAAAATAGACCTGTAGAATGGGGATTCCCTTTGTCTGATCGAACATGTCTAATTCTGGATCCTCTTTCTCGTTTTATATTTCAGCTCAGACAGATGGCAGTAACTCCCCAACAGAATGAGGTACGCTGTTGAAGCTCTTGACAACACTAGCCTTCCCCCATCCGCCCCTCACTCCTTCACTCCACAAACCTCTCTCCCAGCCAACTAGCACTCAAAATTCTAGCCTTGTCACCCTAATCTTAACCACTCGGCACAGGCTGAACCCAATAACCCCTGGACCAGTGGATGTGGGACTTTGAGGCATTCACCTTTAACCCAGTCAGACCAGACGTGTTATTTTCTCTTGAGACACATTCCTTTAGCCCACACTGCCCCTCTCTCCCTTCCTTCCAAAGCAAATGCTCTATCAGACCTCTGCTGTCAGACTGATAAGCCACATTGCTAAGCCAATAGGTTTACCAGCAGTTTTGTGTTCGCTGGAAGAGGCCTAAGGTAGCATTTTTAGCCAGTCTGTTCCAAAGTGAAAGGTGTAGCATTGTTATGTGGCAAGAAATTCAGGCTAAAGTCATCCCCACCCGCCCCCCTCCTTTGCATGATCACAACCAGCACAAAATGCTAACCTCCAACCCCCATCCCACCATTGATGGTGACAGGATATTTGTTTTGAACTGGTAACCAAAAAGAGACATCTCATGATGGAAGGTAACAATCAGAGGGAGACATTTTCTGAGCCTGAGGAATAATAACAAGGAAAAAGAGGAGCGGTGAAATCCTTGTGTTCTGACTGTAGCACTCTCCATTCCTGGAGATGCCAGGGGCAAAACCTTTCTCTTGTGGAGCAGTGGGGATATCTCCACAATAAAAGAAGACCTTGTCACCATTGAACTGCTCATCTTCAGTGGGTTTCATGGTCATAAAATACAAGAATATTCAAGTTTATCCTCACACTGATTTGTGGACAACAGGGTAGAGACCTCACCAGCAAACGACGGTGGGTAACTGTGGACAATGTGCAATCTCTGCCATAGTGGAGGATATTTTGCTTCTCTGCAAGCCCCTGGTCAGACAAAATCAGATGTGTAATTCTAATTCTAATCATCACGGCTGTATTTACATTTTTCATACTGTAATGATATTGATGATAATGATATATCATCAGCCAAATCTCTGATGTGTACAGTAATGTTATGGTAATGGGGTGACTTTCATCATGGAAGCAAAAATATGACTGCTGCTTATCACACCACAAAGGGATTGCGTCAATCGAGAGTTGAGACCACAGCCATTAGCATTGTTTCGTCACTAGTGCTCAGGGTCGTAATGTTGCACTAGGATTTAACATTGACAAGGGAAGCTGGCTCTCTTAACATTTTATTGTCAGTCATAGATAATTCTCTGGAAACACTGGTCCAAACGTACTCTAGAACTATTTGTAAAGTCAAACTACTGAAACAAATTAATCAATTCTTTAATCAGTCACAGATGTTGTCATATTTACATTACGATATGGGGAATCATCTCACTTCCCTGTCCGTCACCCTGTTCAAAATGTTGTCATTTGCAAGTGTTAATCTGTCTGCATTATAACATTTTGGCAGTGTTTATTTTCCTTCATCAGAGTTTATATTGCCTGTAGACACTAACGTTCTTGCCATCTATTTATTTGCTATGTTTTGGTGTCATGCTATGGCTTCATGGGAGATCTCAATTATTTGCTCAATTATCTTATTACAAAAATGGGAGAGTTACACACATAAGCATACACACACGTGTGCATTTGCAGACGCACACACACACAGTAACGACTCGCCACTCTCCATGATGTACTCTCTCACACACGCACATACACTAATTTAAATGAAGTTTAGAGATTAATTCTCTCTCCATCCATGTATTGTTCCAACTGCTCTATCTTGACTTCCTCCCTGATGACAGTAGTGTTTGCCAGTGTCTGTGTATGCCAAGCAGGTGGAACCAGAGACCAATGTTCCGATTAGAGACTGTTGACTCAGAGTAAGCACTGCAACACAATCTGCCGCGTGTTGATAGTCAGGCATTTAGGCTTCGCCTGTCCCGTGCCAAGACTAGGATTCTGTGTCACAGTAATTATTTCCTTGAATTTCCAGTCTTACATTTTATATATATATATATATATCTTAAATAAATACATTTCTAGACTCGGCAACCTAGCCTTTTGCAGTCATCCTACTGCACACTCAAAGAGTAGCAGTTAATTTACAAACAATTCACTTTTGCATTGACTAATCCTCAATGATTTCAACCAGAATTAGAGATCACATAAGAAACAGAGATAATGAGGAATAATTTCCATTCATTCATTCACTTTTACTTGACCTCACCACCATATGTAACGCGAACCAGAGATACTTGGACAAATATAGCCTTGAAACTGGAAACTTTTAGTGTCTGCGGTTCTTGAAATTTGTGGAACACAGTTGAAACTGAGACAATGAAACAGGTCGGGCTTCTGTCTGACAGCAGAAATGTGTGTGTGGGTCTGTGTGTGCATGCGTGTGTTCAACTGATCTCAGCCGACAGACCATTGCTGTCGTTGTCTGTTGGACTGGGGGCATCTCAGTAAAAAATAACTGTGTGAAGCTAAGAATTGCCACTAGGTGTCAGGGTAGATATTCTTTGCTGCCAACACAGTGGAACTGAAAATACTCACAATTATGATTTTTTCAAGCAGAGCCGCCTTCCAGCTCTTCCACAGACATTTGACGCATAGTGGCCCTGACGCATAGTCCTCCTCACACTAACACACCGACAACACCACACACACCTTACTATCGCCTTCATCGTTGTGACCGAAAGGCCAATTCACCCCTCCAGTGTCAGCATCGTCAGTCTTGCAAATGTTACTTACAGGAATGAAGTGGAAATAACTTCATCTGTCTATTTCATCGGGGAGAGATGAGGAATAAAAGCGAAAATCCAGCACCCATTTAATGGAATAAAACAGGCTAGGTCAACAGCCTAAGATATGCAATGACAACTTCCTATTCAAGATCTTGATAGAGAGTAGAAATACTAAACTAAACAAAAACATGACATTTCTCATGTCACTTTTCAAACGTGAACAGAAAATCTGCCTTAACTCTCACTTGTGTACTCTACAGTGCAGATGATGATGCTCGCTTGTAAGACTCCCCACTTTGTACAAAATAAAATGGACAAAAAACTACTTTGTTATGTTGCTAGTGTTGATGTGTAGATGATCAGCTTTTCTGTGACTTGTATAAACCCAACCCTCACATTTTGCTAAAGGACCCTTATTCCTACAGCACCAACAACTCGTACTTGTCCCAAACATCCTCCTTCCCCTTCTATGTTTTATCTAGTGGTGAATTCTCAACCTTTGTGTACATTTTATAGTATTATTTAATTAAAGTGAAGAAAACTGCAAGAAATTGATATAACTGTTGTCTTTTTATTATGAAGTTGTTACTATAACTTGTTGCCAAGATTGCTTTGAAAATAATCATTTTGTGCTGTAACAGTATTTGCTTTATTCAGTGAATTGCTTATGGAGACTAATAAATAGAGGCACACACCAACCTGTTTCATCTTTGTCAATATCCATTTAACCGCAGACACTCACACACACACACACATTCATTCCTTCTCTCACCTTGGAGCATAAACACTAAAATATTCATTCACTGTGCATCACAGAACACTTGTGGTGGCAATCAGCAAAAAGTCTGCACCAGCCTATACAGCATAGAGACTGGTGCAACCACAGTGTCATATTGATACTGTACTGCAGGTATGTACAGTAGGTACCATCTGCTGGTTTATTGCGCCATCCTATGGCTCTTTCCTCACTGTGCACTACCCACCCTAATAGCCCACCAGCAAGGCTCCCCCTTCCCATTGCTAAATCCATCAGCCCCTCCTGTAGCAAACCATGGGGGTTTCACATCGGCCTGCACAGCTACATGCATTGGCATAAACGCAATGCACCAAAAAAAACACCACACATAGATTATAATTACTGGGAGCAATATCATCATCGACATGGATGGACGGCCATAAGCAACAGCACATTGTAGTATGTGTAGGCCTACAGTATGTCTACTAGTGTGATGCTGACCAATTACACATAGAATTGTAGCTACCCTAGTACAACACCTGACAACCCGTCAAGCGGTTCAAACGTCTTGTTGTAATGTGTTCGATTGATAGTCGCAGGGACAGTTGGAGGGACGCCTGTTCAAGTCCCAGTCGGGCTAGCCCCCCAAATCGCTACACTGGTGTCAGAAGTGGGATGGCGCTGCAGGGAGGCCAGATGTTATATTTAATAATAATAATAATAATAATATGCCATTTAGCAGACGCTTTTATCCAAAGCCAAATCCAATAACTAATATTCTGACATCTATTAACTTGCAGCTATGATATCATCTGGAAGTAGCCTACTTGTTGCACACCTTCATGATCATTGCACACAGCCATAAAAA